TGCTGCCCTCAGAAGATGCCGGCCACAGAGACTGGCGAAAAGTTAGGAAGAACAACCTTCAGAACACAGCCAAAGAACCTGAAAAACCCACAACAACCAGTAGAAAACCCTTATTTCATACATTGAAAATTTTGCCTTTAAATACTTTAGTTCAGAGGTTTTGCTAGCCCTCCTATGAAAATATGAAGGAAAAATAAAAGAAGACCTTAAAAATCTATAGAAACAATATTTTTCTGAAATCTCTTTGACTGTAGGCAGCTGTTCTCTATGCAGGGACATGGATGCATGGAATACACAGAGCTCTGGAATATGTGTAAATAGTTGTAAACTGCTCTATTTTCTCATGCATTTATAATTAGGACCATGCAAGTAGACAGTCTCTTACATTTATTGTAAAATGTACTTATTCTCTGTGATTACATTTATAGGGCTTCAAAAACAAACCCAAAAAGAAAGGCCGTATACAGCCTGACCTGATAGATGTTGATTTAATCAGAGGTAAGCACAGTTTGAATAAATGCATTTATATCTGATGGCCAATAGTAAATGTGAAAAACATTTTATTTTAAGTTTGTTTGTGGTTGTACGTACTGAATCTGTCAGGTAGGTATGATATTCAGTACAATCTTCATCCAAAAATTCCTACCATATTCTTTGGATCCTCAAGTGAACTCACAATTAAAAAACAATGAAACATCAAAAGATCACAAAAGTTCCAGCAAAAAATGATCTTATTGTAGAGGAGAAATAATAAAATTTGAATATAAGTTTGAAGTTTGATTTAAAGAAAAAGTTTTCAGAATTTATTGGCTACCTACTAGGACCAGCTGGACTTCCTATAGAAGGAAGTTCTAAAGGTTTGTGGATGAGAAGTGCTCTTCAAAATGTCTTGTCCTCGTACTTCTGCCCCTAAATCTCAGAAGCTAATGGGACACAGAGTTAAGTGCCAGATGCAGGCTGGTTCAGGTGGCCTCTCGGGTAGGTTGCCCCCAAACCATTTACAGGTTTTTAGATAATGATAATTAGTGAGTTTTCTCCTTCAAGAGTTGAACTCTATATGAGATAGAGATTGCATGCCTAACCCCAGTTTAGTGTTCCTACAGTTCATGGTACCTCTTTTTTGTATGGATTGAATCTCAGTTTGTTAACCCATCGGTGTGCACCAATAATGATTCAGAACTTCCACAGCATCTTTGGATTCTGCTTTGAAGAAAAGGAGAAGAGAGAGCTGGATGAAATAATCATATTGATAATTCTTCAGTCCAAATCTATGGATGATCTCTTTCAGTGCTTTATATAGATTAAGGGACACGAACACTGGATTGTCACCAGCTGGAATTTGGGCAGGAAAGAGATATAAAAGAGGTCTTTTGCCTCAATCCAAGTTTTGTCGTGTCCAGAATTTCTACCTTTACCTCCTCTATTGGAATAACATGCATACCCAGGAGGCTGGATATCTCCCTTTATTCAGTATATGGACTGGGTAAAGGAGTGTTCTAGCTGCTGCTTAGCTCATACTTCTCTAAAATTGGATAACTTTTCTTCTGCATGCAGAGAAAGTAGTGATCCATGTTCATTCCAGGTTGTGGTTACAATAGCAGCTAGGAGTGCTGATGAATCAAATTGTTGTCCTAGTTCTGTAAGAAAGTATGGGGAGATTCTAAAAGCACCTTTAAGCTGTTACTTCCAGGTCTCCCTACATAGGAAGAAGGAGGAACCTACCAGGCATTGCAGCAGGGTGCCTAGGTGCAGTTTTGAGATGTCTGTTGTAATGTTGAGAGGTGTGGCTGCACCCATTATAATTTGGCTCATGGAGGGCTTGCAATGGAAAAACTTGGTTCACCTTTCTTGCATTGGATGCAGATGTGTAACATGGGGGACAAGATGGAATCTCATAGGCTCCAGGGTGTTACAGCCTTGCAACAAGCAGTCACTTCTTTGTGACACCTGTGGCTACAACCCCTTCAGATTAGATCATAGCAATAGTAGTTCTGTCTAAAACAACTTCCTTCAGTTTAGATCTCACCATTGATGTGGTTATAAGTTATTTCAAGAATTAGAAGCCAAAATCAACCAAAGAATGCAAAAGAAAGGCTCAGATTGTTGGAAAGACTACATTATACGGAGATCAAGAGTTACCTTGTCTGTTTGTGAAGTGATAGAATGAGTGTGTATTGATTGTATATTCATGTAGTGCTTGTTTATTACACTAGAAACAACCTCCTTTTTTGACTGTATCACTTTAGACTGGAGATGGGCGCTCAGATGACTGAATGCTTCTCCACACCTCCCCTACCCTTGTTGAAAAATAACCATATAATGCTGTGTATTTTACTCAGAATGCCCATTGGGTTGTGTATAAGATATTGTAGCCCATAACTTAGTCTTCTACTTGACATGTTGGTTTTCAGTTATTTATTTTGCAATGGAAGTGTATTCTGTCATGGGACTGCATGCCTTCAGAAGTATAATCTATGCACAGATTTGCTGTTGTGCTATCTATGAGCACCAGAACTGAGCAATATCAGGTTTTTGTTTTGTTTGTTTGTTTTACATTTTTCATGTTTTAATACAGCTTTGTCTTGAAAAGAGAAGAAGTAGTTGCAGAGTTCTCATGATTTTTAGCAGAACAACCTATTTTCAGTATTCATCTTTTCTAGGGTCCACATTTGCTAAAGCTAAACCTGAAATCCCTTGGACATCACTTACAAGAAAGGGCCTTGTTCGGGTTGTGTTCTTCCCATTTTTTAGCCAGTGGTGGATACAAGTGACTTCTTGGCGTATTTTTACATGGCTGCTTATGCTCTACCTCCTGCAAGGTGAGTGAGGAGTGACATTATTCTTGAATTACTTGAAGATAAAATCAAGGTGGACTATTTTAACTAGTCTGAGGAAGTGCAACTATCTACTTCGATGGATCACCATTGTGTGTGTGTGTGTGTGTGTGTTTGTGTGTGTGTGTGTGCGCGCGCACCAGTCCAATGTCAGAAATTCAGAGAATGCAGAGCCGATATCAACATGCCAAATGGGGTTTCAACAGCAGAGCCCAATAAGCCAGTCCAATGTCAGAAATTCAGAGAATGCAGAGCCGATATCAACATGCCAAAGCCAAATCACAAACCATAATCCAAGGTCAGGGTCCAAAGCCAAATCACAAAACAAGGCCCAGCCTCTGAGTCCAAAGCCAAGGGTCCAGAGAACAAGGTTCAAGGTAGTCAGGAGCATGAATGCAAGCCAGAGATTTGACTTGTTGCTTCCACAAGCATGCTAACATCTGGGTGCAGATTTTATAGCAACAGCAGGCATCTAAACACCTCATCCTGCTAATACTCGGGACTGGTCGACCAGATTTTCCTATGGGAAGCATTTGTGCGGGCTTCGGATCTCTGTCATGAGTCCTTGCCGAAGCTTGTCCCTTACTCTGGCTACTGGGGGAGGAGAATCTGGTGGTGATTCATCTGTGATTCTGATTCCCATCATTCTCCTTAGCTGTACTTAACCCCTCAGATTCCAGATTTTAGGCAGAACTCATGACTCTGTGTGTGTGTGTGTGCATATAAGGGTGACACAGAAGAGAAGTGATAGGGCTTAGGCATTCTCACAGTCAGTAGTGCATCTTTTGTTGAGAGTTGGGCCTTGAAAGAGTCTGATTATACTGACTTCTGATACTGTATCTCAGAGGATGAGATTATTAACATACTGCCTTTAGTTTGTTGTTTATGAGGATCATCCTATACCCATCTGTTCCTGTAGTAATGACATACGAGAAAACCAGAGCAAACCCATATATTTATGTTTTAATCTCTGTAACACCATCAACTAATTACACGAATCCCTTCTTTGTTCTTATACATATTTACATGATTACTCAGCACTGCCTAAGAGGATGTATAATTTGTTTTATTTATGTAAAAGATTGCCTTAAGTAAAACTATAACTGATAGAGTATTTTTCCCCCAGTTGTAGCAATTGTCTTGTACTACATGATGCCAGTTGTGAGTGCAAGTGAAATTATTGGACCATTGTGCCTTATGCTTCTAATGGGAACCGTTCACTGTCAAATAGTATCAACTCAGTTAACAAAGCCGTCAGGAATTGATGGAACCAGTATTGGCCGGCGAAGGAGGTGAGAGGAAATGTCAATCATTTTGTTAGGTGAGATGAGATTCCCTATTTTAGGTCCTTGTTACAATTGGAATATATGGTTGCATAGCATCTTAAAGTTTCCCCGAGTGCCCTTATAATATAGGATTAATTTTAGCTTTGTTTGCCGTTTCCTTATGGATTTCCCTGGAATGTTGGTGAGAGGTCAGAGGGCTGGCTTTCTTCTTTGTCTTACTTTTGTAGTTTTTTCATTTTTGGCAAAATATGGTAAAGTGATCCTTTCAAAGCATATAGCTGGTATTTCTCAAGTGAAGCGATCAACGTGCATTATTCTCCGGTTTGTTATTAGAACCATTGCTTACACGTTGCCTCCTCCTCAAGGTGCAGAGCGGGAAGAAAAAATACTTCTTATTCTGACTACAGTGCATGATTAAATAAATGTTATTTCCCCTTTGATAACATCTGTAGGAATGCTAAGCAGGGATTATCTTGGCTGTTTGATTTCATTCTCCAAATGGCAACTTTCCCCCCACCATTTTTTAAAATACTTACTATTAACCTCTCTGAGGTTGCTGCCTAGAAGCTGCCAGTGCAGTGCCCAGATCAAATGGTTGTTAGTTGACTTGAAAAATGATTGCCAAAAAGTGACACATGATCCAGCAATATGGACAAGGCAGGTGAAAAATCAAAATGTGATATTATTATTGTTATTATTGTTGATAATGATGGAAAGCATGATCATAATTCAGCATGGGCATGGCTAAAACTGGGGACCATTAAGAAAGAAACCGAAGGCTTGATTTTTGGTGCACAAGAACAAACACTCCAAACCAATGTGATGGAAGCTAAGATCCAAGGAGTTAGTGCTAACAGCAAATGTTGACTCTGCTAAGAAAAAGGTGAAACTGTGTCACACCTCACCTGTCAATATCCAAAGATTGCACAAACAGATTACAGGTTAGACATGACAGAGTGGCAAAGTGAGTGCACTGGTCATTATGCAAAAAATATAACTTGCCAGCCTCCATAAACCCATGGGAACATCGGGTAGAGAAGGTGTCAGAAAATGAGGAAGTCAAGATCTTGTGGGAATTCCAGATCCAAACAGATAGACACCTTGGACGTAACACACCAAACATAGTAGTAATAGAACGAAGAAATGTCTGGATCATTAACATTGCAATTCCAGGGGATTCCAGACTGGAAAATAAAGAATTGGAAAAAACTAATGAAGTACAGAGACCTGGCAATGGAAACATGTTGCCTCTGGAAGAAGCACACTTCAGTGGTCTCTATAGTCAATGGGGCTTTGGGAACAATATCAAGAAATTTCACACAGTACTATATAAACAGCTGCAGATCTCAGAAACCACACCATCAGAACTACAAAAAACAGCAATATTAGGAACAGCATACATTTGTTGTTGTTTAGTCATTAAGTCGTGTCCGACTCTTCATGACCCCATGGACCAGAGCATGCCGG